ACAACAACCAAAGGAGAAATCTGAATCTGGGCTGACATATGCCCAGGAAAAAAGCTGATCCCCAACGAGCGTCGAAGCACAATAATACATGACGACTACTAGAATCTAAATCAGGGGTAGCCCACCTGGTTCATGACCTGTTCGTATTGATCAGATACCCAAACTGCCCGATTCTGTTTGGCTATGTGGTCCTATCCACGTGTAGTTCTTATCCTAATAATATTCCTTCTTATCTCTTAAGTAGGGTGTTCACGTCAGTTTACTGCGACCAACTTTACTCGAGCTAGGTTGCTCTAATCTCCTGCGTTTGGACTTTGTCTCTTAGGTCGCACCATCGACCAGCCTGTCTCCAGGTAGAGTTTCTGTCAGGCTAACCGAGGGCCTTAGCTCTACCTACTAGTGAGCTCCCTTGTCTTTGAGGTCACCATCAACCTTGTAATTATTCGACCTCCGATGTCCTTGTTGCCCGATCGACCTATCCAGTCCATCAGTCCAGTCGGACCGCTCCTTAAGTCATACTCGACCTAGTATAATATCCCATATCATATTGTAAAAAATATTATTTAACATTTTTATCGTAATTATATTTACTATTAATTTCTAGCCATAACTTTCTCGGTATCAAATTATTATTTGTTAAGGTATAATACAAATTCATCCAAAATTAATTATTCAAATACAAGAATTATTTTATCAATTTTTCTTTAGTTTTTTATATATACCCTTAATACAATAGTGGATCTAATGTAAGGATGAGTTATAACAACATTATTACTAAATTCAAATGAAATAAATCATAATTTTGAAAAAAAATATTTGTTATAAGTTCTAAATGTATTAAATATTTTGTCGTAAAGTGAATATATAATATATATACTTTAAAAAAAGCAAAAAAAAATGCTATTATTTGAAACACTACAACAACAACAACAAAGCCTTTAGTCCCAAGCAAGTCGGGGGTAGGCTAGAGATGAAACCCAAGAGAACCATCGGTAAGAGAAACACAAAAAGGCCTTGAAAAAAAAAATGGGAGCAAAAGAGAAAGGAGCAGGAGTCACGGTTCTGGCACGTTGATTGCTAGCCTTCAAGCGCTCCTATCCACCGCTAAATCCCTGGAGATATTCCAATCTTTACGGTCTCTCTTAACCGACTCTTCCCAAGTGAGTTTATGCCGACCTCTACCTCTCTTTATGTCCTCGAACCGTTGTAGAACTCCCCTACGCACTGGTGCATCAGGAGGCCTCCGTTGTACATGTCCGAACCACCTCAGCCGATGTTGCACCAATTTCTCCTCAATTGGAGCCACCCCGACCCTATCTCGAATATCTTCATTCCGGATTCTATCCCTTCTTGTGTGCCCGCAGAACCAACGCAACATACGCATCTCTGCTACACTTAGTTGTTGGATATGTTGCCTTTTTGTAGGCCAACATTCAGCACCGTATAGCATTGCCGGGTGAATCACCGTCTTAAAACTTACCTTTTAGCCTTTGTGGTAACCTCTTATCACAGAGGACGCCCGAAGCTTGCCGCCATTTCAACCAACCGGCTGCAATTCTATGCCTAACATCAGCATCAATGCCGCCATCCTTTTGTAGCATCGATCCTAAATACCGGAATGTCTCCTTCTTGGCCACCACTTGCCCGTCAAGGCTAACGTCACCATCATCATGTGTAGCCATTTTGAAAGCACACATCATGTACTCGGTCTTCGTCCTACTAAGTCTGAAGCCTTTCGACTCTAACGAGTCCTTCCACAGCTCTAACTTCCTATTTACCCCTGCTCTACTCTCGTCCACTAGCACCACATCATTAGCAAAGAGCACACACCAAGAGATATCACCTTGTATGTCCCTTGTGACCTCATCCATCACCAAGGCAAATAGATAAGGGCTCAATGCTGACCCTTGGTGTAGTCCTATTTTAATTGGGAAGTCGCTGGTGTCGCCCCCACATGTTCGGACACACGTCATCGCACCCTTGTACATATCCTTGATGAGGGTAATGTACTTAGATGGGACTTTGTGCTTTTCCAAGGCCCACCATATGAAATTTCTCGGAACTCTATCATAAGCCTTCTGAAGGCCAATAAAGACCATGTGCAAGTCCTTCTTTTGGTCCCTATATCTCTCCGTCAGTTGTCGTATTAGGAAAATCGCCTCCATGGTCGACCTTCCAGGCATAAACCCAAATTGGTTTTGGGTCACACTCGTCACTCGCCGTAGGCGATGCTCGATAACCCTCTCCCAGAGCTTCATCGTATGGCTCATCAACTTAATCCCACGGTAGTTACCACAGCTTTGAACATCTCCCTTGTTCTTGAAGATCGGTACTAAAGTACTTCTCCTCCATTCATCAGGCATCTTGTTTGACCGGAAAATGAGGTTAAAAAGTTTAGTTAGCCATACTAACGCTCTGGCGCCCAAGCATCTCCACACCTCAATGGGGATACCATCAGGGCCCATTGCTTTGCCTCCCTTCATCCTCTTTATAGCTTCTCCGATCTCTGCCTCCCGAATTCTCCTCACCACGCGTCTATTGGTATCCTCAAATGAGTCATCCAACTCCAGGGTAGGACCCTCACTCTCCCCATTAAACAAATTGTCGAAGTACTCTCGCCATCTGTCCTAGATCTCCCCATCCTTCACTAGTGGTCGATCCAACCCATCCTTAATGCATTTGATTTGGTTGATGTCCCTTGTCTTTCTCTCCCGAATCTTAGCCATCCTATAAATGTCCTTCTCCCCCTCCTTCGTGCCTAGGCGCTGATAAAGGTCATCATAGGCCTGACCCTTCGCTACACTCACGGCACGCTTTGCAGCCCTTCTCGCTATTTTATAGCTCTCAATGTTGGTTGCACTCTTGTCAAGGTGGAGGCGCTTGAAACACTCCTTCTTCTCCTGAATAGCCCTTTGCACCTCGTCATTCCACCACCAAGTGTCCTTCGCTTCCTGCTTGCCTCCTCTACTCACACCAAGAACTTCTGCAGCCACCTTCCGTACACATGTTGCCATATTTAGCCACATGTCATCTGCATCTACTCCTTCTTCCCAAGGCCCCTCACCTAGCATCCTATCCCTAAACTTCTGCGCCGCTTCCCCTTTAAGCTTCCACCACTTCGTTCTCACGGACTTGACACATTTATCTCGGTGGACACGTGTTCGGAATCGAAAATCCGCCACCACCAGCTTATGCTGGGGGACAACACACTCCCCAGGTATCACCTTGCAATCTACGCAAGCGCTTCTATCCTCCCTCCTTGCAAGGATAAAGTCGATCTGACTATGGAAGGTCACTAGGTGAGATTCCCTCTTCCTAAAGAGGGTGTTTGCTATCAACAAGTCGTAGGCCATCGCAAAGTCCAACACACCCTCCCCCTCTCCGTCCCTACTACCGTACCCAAACCCTCCGAACCCTCCGTGCACTCTCTCGAAACCTACCTTAGTCGCACTCATATGGCCGTTTAGGTCCCCTCCTACAAAGAGCTTCACGCTGGCAGGCACCGTACTAACCAAGGCATCCAGGTCCTCCCAGAATTGCCTCTTTGCGCTCTCACTAAGACCTACCTGAGGGGCATAGGCACTGATCACATTCATGGTCAAATCTCCAACTACCAATCGGACTAGGATAATCCAGTCGCCTTGCCTTCTGACATCGACAACTCCATCCTTAAGGCTCCTATCGATCAAGATGCCTACACCATTTCTACTCGATGAAGCCCCAGTGAACCAAAGCTTGAAGCCAGTATCCTCCACCTCCTTCGCCTTCTGACCCTTCCATTTTGTCTCCTGGACGCATAGGATATTTACACGCCTCCTAGTAGCTGCATCGACTAGCTCACGTAGTTTACCCGTTAGGGACCCTACGTTCCAGCTACCTATACGGACCCTAGTTGGTTCGACTAGCTTCCTTGCCCTTCGCACCCGTCGAGAGAGATGCGAAGACCCTTGCTCATTTTCCACTACACTCGGGCGCCGATGTAGCGCGCCACTAAGGAAATGACGACCCGGTCCTTGCTCACTTAACACCATGCCCAAACCAAGACATGGCGCGTCCCCAAGGGGGAGACGACCCGGCCCTTGCCCATTTGACACCATACCCGAGTTCCGATATGGCGCGTCGCTAAGAGGGTTACGCCCCAACGAAATTCTCATGTGTTTCATCTCCATAGAACGGCTAGGTTTTACGTTGGCTCGCCAAGCCTATCACAATCCTCCTCCTTTACCAGGGCTTGGGACCTGCTATGTTGAGACAACATAGGTAGAGTTCTATTATAAAAACACTATTATTTGAAACACTATTATTGCAATAAAAAAATTATAAATCAATTGCAAGTTTGTCCAAATTTACATCTTGGACAAATTTGCAATTTTCTCTATCAGTTTTGCTATGGAGTCATCGACTCAGAGTCATCCACACTTATTCACCAATAGTGTATTGACACGTGTCATACAATAAATATAATTTAGACATGTGTCAATATATTTATTGATGAATGAGAGGTTGTTTATATACTGCGAGTGTTCACACTAGGGGCGGTACCGTAATTACACTTATTCACCAATAGTGTATTGACACGTGTCATACAATAAATATAATTTAGACATGTGTCAATATATTTATTGATGAATGAGAGGTTGTTTATATACTGCGAGTGTTCACACTAGGGGCGGTACCGTAATTACTTGGTTTGTTGCGTTCACACTTAAAGAGTTGGTTGTTTATATACTGCGAGTGTTCACACTAGGGGCGGTACCGTAATTGCTTGGTTTGTTGCGTTCACACTTTAAGAGTTGGTTAATTACGGTACCGCCCCTAGTGTGAATACTCGGTACCGTAATTAACCAACTCTTGAAGTGTGAACGCAACAAACCAAGCAATTACGGTACCGCCCCTAGTGTGAACACTCGCAGTATATAAACAACCTCGTCCTGCTTGAATGTAATTACTTAACCATCCAATTTTTATTTTCTCTATTTACTCTTTTTTTTTTTGGTACAATGAACCTTCCGGTTTCCGAATCTCCGAGGGGACCGACTAATCCGGAATCGAGCCGGGTAGGACCACAAGGGCGGCAAAGCTCTACCTCAAGAGTTTTAACACAGCTGCATTCCCAGGGCTCGAACTCGAGACCTCTGGTTAAGCTGAGAGAGACCCCAACCATCTCACCCACGTGCTCTTGGGTTCTATTTACTCTTTTTAACATAAAAGGGAAGAGCTAGGAGCATAGACATGCCAAACTCTGGAGCGACGACGTTTAGGGCAAACAAAACGGCCGTCCGCTCCCTTGGCGAAAAGGCAAATTCATACCTTGAATGACAAATAGATCATAATCACAGGGAAATAACAGTTCAAATTGTTTGAAAGAAGAACCCGCCTGGAGCCAATTGAACCTGACGTAGCAGATAATGGAGATAGATTCGTCCCCTATTGGTCGGTGTTCTAAGGAACACCAGAACACCTACCAAAGTTGGTTTTCTGTCGCTGATTCAGGTTCGCATATATCATTTTTGCATTCGTGAATTTTGGTTTCAAAAATTCGATATATTTGTCTGTTTGTTTCTGTCTGAAAGAATTTAATGGTAATTTTCCGTACGCAATTAGATGGAGATGGCCGTATCACCGGCCCCGATGCTATCAAGTTCTTTTCCATGTCTAACTTGTCTCGTCAAGATCTCAAACAGGTAATTAACTGATTAATATTTAACTTAGCTGAGTTCAGTTATGATGGGTTGTTAATATTTGTTGTATTTTGTGGTACACTCACATTTTTGTTGCTGGGGAGAAGTGCTGATCTCAGCTTGATTGTACATTTTCTCTGTGCATAACTAGTTCCTTTTTGCTTGATTTGTGATGAATGGCGGTCCTACTGTGGTGATAACTTGTGATAGAATTAAGTTCCTGTGCACAAATTATACTGTCCAAATTCTATGTGCTTTTCTGTTACCTTTCTGTTCTCTCCCTTTTTTTCGTTTTCTTTTTATTTTCCAGTTTCAAGTGATGTTGGGTCTGGAATTTCAATTTTTTTTTACAAAATTTTCTTTCAATTTAATAAGGTGTGGGCAGTTGCTGATTCAAGGAGGCAAGGTTTCCTTGGATTAAAAGAGTTCATTACGGCAATGCAGGTTCTGTTTGTTTTGTTTATGATATTGAGGGAGAACAATCATCATTGTGTATGATGTAACCGGTTTTCAATGTTGGCTTTGTAGTTAGTCTCTTTGGCACAAGCTGGCTATACTATCACCAGTGATTTTTCAGCCTATGATGGTAAGCTCTAGAGCATTTCTGTTCCTTGTCTTATCTGCCTATTAGTCTTATTGGTAAATCTAGAGATGAGATGAGTAATGTACCTGTTGCTTTAGTATGTTAACATCAGTATTGGAAAGCAGTTGTGACATGGTTTTCTTACATAAATCATCAGGAGTTGACTTTGGTGACCTGCAACTTCCAATCATGGAGGGTTTGGATGCACTCCTAGCTGTAAGCTCCTTTTCTCTCTGTTTGTCTGTATTTTGGAATGTGGTCTTGTTTATATTTTCATTTAAATGTTGATACCAATTGTAGAGATTTTTCTTTATTGCAGAAGAAAAGGCGCTCATCTGGTTCACCTGAAAATAATGGTAAGATGGACAACGTCGTAGAACAACATTAATAATTAGTTTCCCAATTTTGACTTTTTTATGTTTTAGGAAATTCTCAAACGCAATCTTCACCAGCAGCTGGTTGGTTTTCTTCCACCAAATCGGCAAAGAAGGTAGCATGTTTGTGGATACTATATAATTCACGCTCTTTGTATTGGTTGATTCAACTTTTCATAATCTCCCCTCCGCACCAACTCCTTGAATATATTTTGTTGATTTATAAGAGGCATTAGCTCAAGTACTCATGACTCATGAGCAATTTTCTATTCAACAAAAACAGTAATCATACTGGCCCCTGCAGTCTTGTGTTTTGATTGCGGATCTGAATTGAAAGTCTTTTCTTTTTCTTTTTTTTAATTTCTTTGGTGTGTGTGTATGTGTGTTATGACATACGCCCGAAGTCTTGTGTTTCAGTGATTAGAGCAGCTCCAGAATTAAATTTTTGTTAGCTACATACTTATCGTGTTCTGTGTTATCTCTTGGTTGGCCCTAGCTAGCTATTAGGCATTAGGATAATGCTTTTACTTTTCTTAGTGTGTTGATGATTTTTTCCCTTCTTTCAGTAGGTATATACTCAAAGATTTCCATGGGCATGTGTCTATAATGAATATTCATTTTCTTTAGTTGGTTCTCAATTTTCTTTTTCCTGTAAAATCATTTTCCGTCATGCATATAAATACTTTTGAGGTTTCATGCTTTGCATTATAATTTTAGGCTACGTTTGTTTTGAGGGATTTGAAATTCCTTGATTTCAAAAATTTTTGAAATATAAATTTTTTACTTCCACACTCCTTGAATGGATGTGTTGAAAATATTATAAATCAATAGTCTAGCTCGCACCGATGGTGTTGACTCACGGTGGTGATGAACCTAAATGATCGCGGACGGTGTGGTCTTCAATAGTGGATTTCAAATGACTAGGTTTGAGGAGTCATTTAAAATCCTTTAAAATAATGACTAAAAAATATCTAGCATGAATTTGAAATCCTCCAACTTCCTTTGCCATCCGAACATGCATGGGGATTTGAACTTGTAAATTTAAAATTTATAGATTCAAATCCCTCAATAAATCCTTCAGTCCAAACGTAGCCTTAAGGTAATTAATTTAGAGATTTGAATATCAAGATATTTATGTCGATTATGTGAATGGTTACTTCATCCTCCTTTCATCTCCTTTTTTGATGATACTTTTCTGCTGTAACTTCTTATCATTCTTTTGGCTCATCTATTGATGCTTTCCCAATATTTACTGTTATAAGGTATCTTTGAACTCTGTAACATCGGTTGTTGATGGGTTGAAGAAGTTGTATGTTCAGAAGTTGAAGCCCCTGGAAGTAACCTATCGGTTTAACGATTTTGTTTCTCCATTACTGGTAGGTACCATCTTCTTCATTTGGGGTGCCAAAAAAAATCCTCAAATTGTTTTAATTCTGTCTGCTTTTGGATTTAGAGTGATGGATTATTTTCCTTAAGATCACCTTGATGTATCTTTTGGGATTGACTTTTTGCGGTAATTGTATATTGTCAGGGCAATAGTGATTTCGATGCTAAACCTATGGTGATGTTACTGGGTCAATACTCAACCGGGAAGACGACATTTATCAAACATTTGCTCAGATCAAGTTACCCAGGTACTTAATATTAATAACTCTGTTCAGTCATTCATGCAACTTCTGAATGTTCGTGTTTATCTTTTACACATTCTTTATGTTGTAGGTGCTCACATTGGACCAGAGCCTACCACCGACAGATTTGTTGTTGTGATGGTATTCCCTTTTTTTTTTTTTTTCCTTTCNAAAGCCAGAATTTTATATATTACGGAATTTAGTTATTAAGGTAAGTTTCACAACTGTTCAAAAGGTTCTGCATTTAGTGTTCATGTTTTCAAGTGTCAACTTGTATGAAGAGCTGTTAATCAAAACAAGCCACTCGTGAGTGTGGCTCAACTCGGCTCGTAAAGGCTTGAGTTAGTTAGGTTCGAGAATTTTTATAAACGAGCTGAGCTCGGGTTCAATGTGCAGCTCATTTAGTTGATTCGGCTCGATTTCGAGAAATTGGGTCTTTTACGTAATTTCTTGAACTCTTAGATTAACTCGGCTCGTTAAGAATCAAGTTTGGCTCATTGATTTTGATAAAAGATCCAATCTCGAACTCCATGCCCGGCTTGTTCAGTTTATGAGCTGAGCTATCAGGAGTTCGGGCTTGGCTAGGTTCGGCTCATTTACATCCCTTTTATCTGTGATCCAATTATATGCTTTTCCTAGTTGCATGACCTATTATAACTGATGCTGTCCTTCCAGTGATTTTGGGTACAGTTATTCATCTTGTCCATATGTCATTATTTGAATGAAATGGCTTGCTGAAAACTATTCTTGACCGCTCTTATAGAACATTTTTAATTCCTAGTCCCTTTTTGCTGGTAGCCTGGTAAACATTTCTAATCCATTAGCACTTATCAATATCTTTCTTAATCTGATGGAAAATACAGAATGGACCTGACGAGAGAAGCATCCCAGGGAACACCGTTGCTGTTCATGCAGATATGCCTTTCAGTGGTCTGACTACTTTTGGAAGTGCATTTCTGTCCAAATTTGAGTGTTCACAAATGCCGCATCCTGTGAGAACAGACTTCATCTTTAAAGAATGTTTCCTATAAAATATTTTTGCAGGCTCATCTGCTAAGTTCTTTTTTTTTTTTTTTTTGAATNTGAATATCTAAGCTGCTGGAGCATATTACATTTGTTGACACTCCTGGAGTTTTGTCTGGAGAAAAGCAGCGCACACAAAGAAGTTATGACTTCACCGGTGTCACATCTTGGTTTGCAGCGAAATGCGATCTCATCCTGCTTCTGTTTGATCCTCACAAACTTGATATAAGTGATGAATTTAAAAGAGTCATTGGATCTTTACGAGGTCATGATGATAAAATTCGTGTGGTGTTGAACAAGGCTGATCAAGTTGATACACAACAAGTATGGCATATTGAAGACTCTATTTTATATTTGTCTTATTTTCTTCTCCTTGGCATATTGAAGACTCTATTTTATATTTGTCTTATTTTCTTCTCCTTCAATTGTCACTGTGGGTACGATTGATATGCTTTCGTTGAAAATTTTTCATCTCCAGAGAAAAATGCTTGGAAAAGTTTAGGGAGAAGAATAATTTGAAACGTGTGATTTGATAAGATGGAAATGAAATGATTGGAGTTAATGTGATGTAATTATAATAATAAAGTATTGTGTGGTAGTTAGAAATTTTATATAGAAATGTGTAGTAACGAGTGACTTTTATCTTAAAATTTGTATTGATAAAATTGAGAAGTGAGAAAAGTGAATAGTTACTTTTTTAAGGCAATATCTCTAGGAAATTTTGAGAGTTAAGAATTAATATCCATTTTACTGGTTTCCTTCTCATTGCAGCTGATGCGGGTTTATGGAGCATTGATGTGGTCCCTTGGGAAAGTGCTAAATACTCCTGAAGTTAACCGTGTATATATTGGGTAAGCTCTATTCACCTGTTTTTTGGTTACGATCATTATTCCAAATCTCTAACTTCATGAGAAACTAGGGCTGTGAAGTGTGAAGTATATGGTGCGCATTGAGATAATTGACGTCCATTGTCCAGAAAATGTAGGCGTTGCGTAGTAAGGCATCAATGTGAACTTGAAAACTAGGTTTTTTTTTCTTTTTTATTTTTTTTAAAAAAAAAGAAACTTGAAAACTAGGTTTGTTAAATATATATTTCTAATCTAATACACTATTCTCTTTACATATTCTTTTTTTCGTTATTAACTATGGTGAGGATCTTTTTGGTGTATATTGCCCACTAGCCTAGTATAGCTAGCTTTCTCCAAAGTGGTCATTTCAATAAACAAATTAAAACAGACACTCGTCTGCTGGTGCCTCTGATGCATTTGGTTTGCTATTACTTTGCTTAATATCAAGCTAGGTATTTTTCATGTTGACAAGTTACATTGAACAAATTCTCGGTTGACCATTGATATGCATGCATGATTCTTATCCATCCTGCCCTGCCCACTGTTTTGAGCCACTTTTGTTTGCAATCACTTCATCACATCTTTTTTATTTCTTTTTAACAGCTCATTTAATGACAAGCCTATAAATGAGGCTGCTGCGGGTCCTATTGGCAGAGAGCTTTTTGAGAAAGAACAAGATGACCTTCTCTCTGATTTGAAAGACATACCAAAGAAGGCCTGTGATCGTCGTGTGAGTTGACGTGATGTACGTTTACCAGATTTGATGGTTGTTTTCTGTTGGATTTCTTATGTTTGTTTGTGTTGTGCAGATAAATGAATTTGTAAAACGTGCTAGGGCTGCTAAGATACATGCTTACATTATCAGTCATCTTAAAAAAGAGATGCCTGCAATGATGGGCAAAGCTAAGACACAGCAGAGACTCATTGATAACCTCCCTGATGAATTTGCCAAGGTCGGTCTCTCTCTCTCTCTCTCTCTCTCTCTCCCTCCCTCCCTCCCTCCCTCCCTCTCTCTCTCTCTCTCTTTCTTTCTCTCCCTCCCTCCCTCTCTCTCTCTCCCTCTCTCTCTGTGTGCATGCTTAGCCGCTTCTTGTTGTATTTTCAGGTTCAGAGGGAATATCATCTCCCTGCAGGTGATTTCCCAAATGCCGAGCACTTTAGGGAGGTTTTAAGTGGGTACAGCATAGATAAGTTTGAGAAGCTGAAACCTAAAATGATACAATCGGTTGATGACATGCTCGGCTATGACATCCCTGAACTCTTGAAGAATTTTCGCAATCCTTACGATTAGGATATATGTGTCTGCATTCTTGATGGATCATTTTCTGTGATCTCGAAATATTATTATTTGTTTTTTTTTTTTTTCAGTTGGAAGGGGCATGATCTTTGTGGTGTCCTCATATCTTGGCAAGCTGCTTGTAAAAGTTGAATAATTTTGTCTTTGTTGTAATTATTGGATTGGACAAATCTAATCAATAATCAGATATGTTTCTTAGTTGGGTACATATATGGCAGAAAAACTCTACTTGACTAACATTTGTTTTTTCTTCGAAAGATAGAACTATATATATACACTCAAAATAAAAAGTACAAATGGGATATCAACTGACATCATGGGCGTAGTTAGAAATTTTTTTTTACCCGGGGCTGCATATTATTATAGCTATTATTGGAATCGATTATACATGGTCATGGGCCGACTCAACCTGTCGGTTCGGGCCGAATCGACACAAATCGGCCCGTTAACCATGGGTCTTGAACCGGCCCGTGGTTTTGACCAGTTCGGTTCATGTACAGTACTTTATAGTTTACGGCTATGTTTGGTAAAATTAACTGATAAGATAGCTGATAGTTGATAAGCTAGCTTATAGCTTATTTGTAATTTTTTAGCTTATAGTTTATAGCTTATGACTTATAGCTGAAAAGCTAGCTTATATGATAAAAGTGTTTGGTAAAATTAGCTGATAAGCTAGCTGAAATAAAAAAATTCAACTAGCTTATTTGAAAAGCTACTTAAAGTATCTTATGAAATAAGCTCGAGTTTTTAAAAAAGCTTGTCCTACCAAACAAGACTTATTTGAATACAGGGAGCTTATAAGTTAACTAAATAAGCTATAAGCTAGCTTATTTGGCTTACCAAACACAGGCTACAAAATTTGAACCGGAAGTTTCGGTTCCGAACTGCAACCGGAACCTGAGGTTCGGCTTTTTTTTTTTAAACAATATATATTATTTTTAATTATTTTTTATTTTTTTAATGAACCGGACGACCAAGAACTGACAGTTCAATGAATATGTTTGCGCCGGTTCAGGGTCCTCTAACTCTCGGCCCAGGATCGGCGATTTCGACCTCTAACTGGTTTTAGTGATCATGACTATGACCAAATTATTTGATAACATGTGGTCTGAATTGGGAAACTCAATCTCGACTAGCTTATATATTTAAACAAGCCAAATCCAAATAGCTAAGGGGGTGATTGGATATAAATTCAACTAGTAAAAAACTAGTTATTTTTTAACTATAATTAAGTTTGAAAAAAAGTGGTATGGTTAGTTGTTAGTGAATATATTAAAATAATATTTAAAATAAAATAAATAAAGTTGAGTTGTATTTATTTGTTTGGATTAGGGGAGGTCTTATTTTATTTGTTTATTAGGTGTGAGTTGTATTTTGTTTTTATTTTGTTGGTTTGTTTTGTTTAGTGCAGCTATGTCTGCTTTCAGTGCAGCTTTGTCTGCTTTTCCCTCCTTTTATGGAGTTTGTGTTTTGTTTTTGTGTTGTGGTTGTTTGCCTCTTTGATGGAGTTTGTACCCCATTGTGTGTGATGACGAGGGGGGTTGGTCCAGTCTTCTGGTTCTAGTGTGTCATTTGATACTTCAGGTGTACTCTTTCGAGTTTTAAAGTTATTATTATAATGGACATTGGAAAAAAAAAGATTTGATGTAAAAGTAGGAGAATGATTGGAAGTGATAGTTAAAATTATGTGAGTAGATGAATAGTGAATTAAAGTTGATGTGATGTGTAAGAATGATTGGTTGATATTATTTAATTATATTGATAATATTAAAAATAGTGGAGTTGAGTTATATTTGAGTTTTGATTGTTTTTTTTATTGTACAATTTGTATACAATCGCCCCCTAATCGATCTTGTCGATCTAACAAATAGAGTCGAGCATGTTGCACTCAACTCTGTAAGAGTTTCTCTTTGTCTAGGAAATGAGGCCGAATTAATTATTGGATGTGAAATCAACCAAAAAATAATAATAATAAATGAAAATGAATAACGAACTGTGCAATGAGACGAACCCAATTAAATAGCCCGCAGGAGAAGTGTGTGTCAAACTTAATTATCCAGCTTATTTGGTACTTGTCAAGTCAACCCATTAAAAAAATTAAAAGGCAAGAGTGTGTTGAGTTACATTGTAAACTCAATTGATAAAAATCTAATAAGGACACAATTGTCATTTGACAATAAAGGATTATCTTTTTTCCACTGTGATCATCAATTTTCCTCCATTACTATCATATAAAAAATTTCGACTTGAATCTTGAGGCATCCAGACCGAAACTAAATGGGGTTACATAAAAAATTACATAGGGATAATGGAGCTTATGTATAAAATTTTATAAAAAATAATATTAGCAATTTTTTTTGGGGGACATGGGGCTGGAGCCCACCCTAGCCCTAGGGTGGCTCCGCCCCTGACTGATATCACAAAGATCAGGACTAGTCTGGACCTTTTCTTGGACTTACACACGCTATCGAGAGAATAGCCTACAACCAACATATTTCACAAAAAAAAAAAAATACAACAAACTCCTAACACAGGAGACTAGAACCGATATTTGGACTAACAAAACACACAAAAAATGAAAAATAATACACCTACAAAACATAAAATACAACTTCCCATACTTCTAAAGACTTTGGACTAACAAAACACACACAACGAAAAACAATACACCTACAAAACATAAAATACAACTTCCCATACTTCTAAAGACCTACGGCAGCTGCTACGAGTCCTAAGGGATGCTTGGATATAAAAAAATTTTGTTTTGTGTGAATTTTTTGGTTTGATTTGGTTAATTTTAAAAAATATGATATTGTTAATTGTTAATGGGTATATTAAAATAGTATTTAAAATAAATTAATTAAAATTGGTTTGATGTAAAAGTAGGAGATAGATGATTTGAAATGATGATTATTTAAAATTATATGAGTAAATAAAATAGTGAATTAAAATTGATATGGTATGTAAAAATGATTGATTAATATTATTTATAATATATTAATTAGTGATATTAAGTTAAACCGTGCTTGTATACAAATATATATGCTCAAAATATTTTTTTTGGTTAACCAGAGTTATCAGAAAAAAAAAGCCATGAAATAGTTTATATTTTTCACTTTTTTTTTTCTAATTACCAATGCGATTAAATTATAAATGACCTAATAAAGAAATCATTTCTATCCAATCGCTATTTATTAGGCAACCAAACGCATTGCTGGGTTTAGCGTGCCCCATTCCAAAGCTTGTCCCTCACATGAAAATTCTAACAATTTGAATGATTGGAAAACAAAGGAAATTACTAGTCACATTTACATCCAGCAATCATGTAGTTCTAGTGAAGTACTTCAAATTGAAAAACATCAAACCGCGTTGAGAAAAGGTTCTCACTGAATCCAACTATCCATGTTAAATGATAGTCTAAAAGTCGACCTACAGATATTTTACACAAACTCAATTCCAGCATTCTGCTTCTCCATGCTTTTAATTCCACCCGATGTTTAGCCACTCACTCGAGCGATATTATCTTCTGAAAGAAATAATGTATAGATAATATAAAATTGCATCAACCGACGAGATTTGATGTATTTTTTATAAACATTAATGGATTAAAAGGTGTAAACATATCTATCAATAACAG